TATAGCCACCCCCCCAACGGATGCATTAAGCAAGAATGGTATATACACGCCCTGTTGTAATACGTACCTATACACGCGGAGGATTGTCCGTAGCATGTATTATTTGACCCGAGCTCCTCTTTCCCCCTGCACAGGGAGGATGAACACACAAGCATACGCGTATGGCTGTATGCTAAAGGAGGCGAAGGACCAAATCTCAGCCGTACTGTTGTATACTGGATGCACCGGTGGTGGTCGCGTTGTCAAGACTCTCTCTCTCTCCCTATCTTGGGCATATGAAGGGAGAAATTTCACCTGCATTGTTGTAGCGGGGATTTCCTAACGAGAGCATGTACAGCTTCCTCTTGGTGTCCATTTTGGGGTAAAACGGTTTCCCCTCGCAGCCGTGGAGCCGATAGTCCTCCTCTCGCATTCCAACGGATCATCCCGGCGAATCGCCGCGAGATTAAGGAGCCGGCTTTGACTCGGCGTTCCCGCGCCATATCTTGGTATCTCTGGGTTTTTCTTCCATCTCCTTTGGCCTCCCGCGGGTTTTGCACACCGCTCCCGACAGGATACCCCTCCCCTGCGCCCCCGCCATTGGTTCGGCCGAAATTACATTTCGCCGCGTGTTCGATATCCCGTCCTCCTTTCTTCTCCCGTGAGCTTTCGTCATACCTTGCGGAGCTTTTTTCCATCCCCCACCCCACTCTCGCCTTTGTTTTTCTTTTTTTTCATTTACGTTTTACGATGCTCGCATGAACATATATATATATATATATATATACACACGCGTGTGGTTCTCTGTTTTGCCGGCGTGACCCAGTGGGGTGGGGTCAACGAGGTTTTTTAATCACGCGGTGCAAATATTTGTTTGGCTCCGTGTATATGCACCCACACGCGCGCATCATCGAATCGCTGCGATTTGAAAGCTGTTTGCGTTAATTTTCGCGATTGAAATAAATTACTATCGATTCTCTCCCGGGAAAGAGCCGTTGGCTGCGGAGGGAGGAAAAAAAACAAAAAAAAAGAAAAGTTCAATCTTCGCGTCATGCAAAAAATGTTAATAGCTCTCGGTACATCCACTCGGGGAGACAGATGTATTTGCATTTTAAAAGAAATCCCACCCCCCGAGCCTTCTTCCTCTCTGGTGCGCCCCTCCCTTGACAAATTCGTAACTGTCTCGCGAGATATCAAGACGGTGTTCCGGCCGTCTCTCTCGTCTCCTGTACACTTGTGGGTACTTTTTTTTTTTTTTTTTTTCACCCACCTTCGTAACTGATAAAAAGGAGACGCGCGCGCGCGAGGACGACGAGCCCGAAGTTGTATAAGACGCGAATGTACTGCTTCCACTTACTCGAGCGCGCTCGTTTATCACTGGTGCAACTCTCTCGTGCTCGCTATTTTTTTTTTTTTTTTTTTTCTCCAGTATTTTATATTCCATTTGCTGCAGAGAGGGCGAGGCGGTATTTTTTATTCCACTTTCGAGTGCGTCCGCGGCTCCTTTTACCTGTACCCAATGTTACTTGGTTTATTGCGTTATCGCTTGCTTTGGCGGCCGCTGAGAGGAGGATTTGAATAAACCAGTATGCGCTGCTGCGATGATATTTTTATGAAATTCCCGATGCCTTTTCTTTTTCTCGTGGACAACAGTAATGTACATTGGATTTAGATTTGCTCGGGCACGGTTGGTACGGTAAATTTCTGTTTATCGGTGCGTTATGGCGACAACCATTTAGGCTGCTGAATTATCCCAGTTAAAATATTACTTTTTTTAATAACTACACGAATGGTTGATAAATAATGTTTATGACGAGGGTGAGTCCAAGTGATTTTTACCATCTGTTGAAGAATATATGATTTAATTCATCGTATCATTCAAAGTATTTAATGAACAACCAAACAGAAGATCGAGTTCTCGATTCGAGCATGAAAACTAAATAAAACACGAAATGAGTAACTCCGCTGTTGATTGCATACCCAATTAAGAAGACAGCTAGCTTTTGAAACTTCTCTCATTATTGGAAATCGATACACGACCCAACTGCGAGCTGAGCGTTAATTTAAATTGAAAATGAAAAAAAAAAAAAAAAAAATGATCCTGATAAATACTACTACTGCTGTCTTTATTTTTTTTCTTTCATCCATTATCTTTATTACTCCTTTTCTACCAGCAAGTGTTCACCATCCTCGTGAATTCGAGAAACTGACATACAATATCTACAAAGTACATTAAATAATCCATTGCAGTTTTTGTAAAATCAAAGTCCAATGATGAGTGAAAAATTTGATTTATCGAATTCTCCATATGCATGATTATTATATGGCATTTGAATTTAAAATCAATAGCCAATTGAATTTGGTAGATAAAAAGAAACATCCCACGAGTGTTGAGTAAAAAGTTTTAATTTTACAAGGGGCCCCATGGCAACTGAACGAGCTTCAGCAAAGGTGTGTCGGTGCTCGCGAGCTTATTTCGTTAACTCTGGGCTCTCCACTCCTTTCGACAGTCCTCTTGCCCTCCTCTTATCCTTTTTTTTTTTTTTTTTTTTTTTCACCAGCACGCTACTACCTCTCCGTGCCTATGTATATACGTATACACACCTGTTGCACATTTGTTGCGACGCAGTGAGCATCGAGGGAGGGCTCGCTCTGCGTGTATATATATATATACGTAGACGTACCTGGGCAAATTCATGAATAATTACAGGGAACGTGCCACGCTTAGCTCCCCGGCCTTTTTTCTCCCACCCTCTCTTTCGTTCAATGCCGAGATTGAAGTAAAACTTTCTTTTTAATTACCACTGAGAGAGGAATCTTTTTTTTTTTTTTTTTTTTTTTCTGCAAACAAGTCACTAGATGTATATTTCCATCCTCACACGCGACTTTAAATTCCCAAGCAAGAAATCCCCGCGCTGTTGCGTCGTTTTGCGAAAGGAAGAGAATCCTCATGTTTTATTGATGAAAGCCGTGAACACGCTCTTCCTCCTCCTCCTCCTCCTCCTCCTCCGTGTCGTTGCTCCAAGAGTCCCTTTTTCTCGCTCGCCTGCACCGCCTCGACTCGGATACATTGTAAAAATGAGAGCAAGAGTCGGGTGCTCCAAATGAACGAGGAAGGCGTACTTTTTTTTTTTTCATATCCGCAGATTAAATAAAAATCCGGGTCACGACGGCGCTTCCTGTCCTCCGTCTTTCATCGGGCGCTCGCCTCGCCGCAAGATTCGGCGTGAAAGGCCGCTCTCTCTTAAGATAAATGAGAGAAGAGCTGAGGGGGGGGGAGGAAAGAGTCTCCCCGATAAGAAAAATCCTTGGCTTTTCGCTGGATTTTATACCTTTCCGCTGTTTTTGTCTTTGTCTTGGCGTTTTTTTTTTGTTTTTGTAAAACGCACGACGCGTTTGGACGCCTGTCGTTCTCGCTCTGAAAAATAGTTTTTTTTTTTTTTTTTTTTTTTTTTTTTTTTTTTTTTTTTTTTTTTTTTTTTTTTCCGGGCGGTTTGCGTTTTTTATTTTATTACTACTCTTGCCCCCCCTGCCCCTCGTTTATATGTATCTCATGGGTGGGTGGATTCAAAGACGGAGCAGTACCTACACATATGGTTGCGGGGCATCGGCAATAATAATCTCTCGAGCGCGAATAATGGACGCTGCGATGCATCCCCGGGTTTCGCAATCGTTGTCCATCGAGCCAATANTAACTCTGGCTCTTGGAAAGGCGACCCTTTTTTTTTTTTTTTTTTTTTAATGCAAGCTCCACCGAGTCGCGCGAGAAAAGCTCGGGACTGGAGCAAAGAAGAAAAGAGAGCGGAGGGTAAATCTCGTGTATTTATTGGCTGCCCCGAGCAGTCCGGATGATCATTGGAAGAGGCATCCTCTCGGCCGGGGAAAGTGGATACCTGGGCCGTCGCGGCTAAGAGCGCCTCGCCCTCTCGATTGGATTGCCACCCTTTGGCTCCATACACATATACACTCCCTTTCTCCATCCCCGGGTCTTTTTCACCTTGGCTTTTGTCGTCCTCTCTTTTCTTTGCAGCGTCTTACGACCGGATGCTCGTTCTTTCCCTCTTTCCACCCGTGTCCCCCTCCCTAACCACCGGGGATTAAGGTAATCACGTGATATTCCTTCCGATTGCTTTTTCCCCTTGTGCTATACAGTCGCTCGTGAGTGATGGTCGCGTTTAGCCGCGCCATCGATACGCAATTGCGTTTGCTCGAGTGCCTGCAATTTTTTTTTCTACCGAACTGAGCGTATTTATGTACCTGTATAAAATGTACGTGCCGCTGATGAAGAAAAATTCCCTACCCGTACTTCATATCCAGCTGATGCTCGTCGGAAAGATGCCAAGGTAATAATAGTCCGAATTTGTGTGATAATCGCGTTGTGCCTACTGATACACGCACTAGGGGTGTACATGGGTATTGATGAGCAATTAGACACAGCTGCTGATTACACGTGTGCTCAAGCAATTTCGCGATGCGCCTACTCAGCGCTGTGGCTATACGTCCTTGCGTGCGCTATATAACAAGGCGATCCTCCCAACTAATTTAATCTATTAATTTAACCCGCGTCGGGGGAACAGCTTAATGTTGAAAAATATATTGCGCTGCAAGAGAGGGAGCGTTAAAAAAAAAGCGAGACGTCATTTGCTACATTAAAAGGGTGGAAAAGCTTTTGCAAGCTCCGTACGTATAGGATTATCACGAACCGAGTTACAGGTGCAAAAAGGGGCTCCAAAGCTTCATTGTTTCATGACATCTTTTAGAGGGGCCCTCCACCTTTCTCGCTGATGTACCGTATGTGCATGACGAGCTTTGACCTGCTCCACCTACGGGATTTATGGTTAAATATAATAGGCACGATGTTTTTTCATAAAAAAATTTGCTTGGGTATGGATAAGCGAGTAGTATTTATGTTTGGGCGTATTACGCGGGCGGACGGATGATCAGATAATTGTAGGATTGTAATAATAATGTAATGGTAATGAACACAGCGATGATGATGGTGTAACGTGTTGTGTTTGCAGAGGCCCCACGAGGGACGTATCTGTTGATAGACGGTCGCCGGCTGGACCCGGGCAACCAATTCGTCCCGGTGAAGGAGGGCTCGGAGTTGACGCTCGAGTGCGCAGCCGAGGGTGGCAACCCGGCCCCGGTCCTCGCCTGGGGCATGACCCTGTCGCAAGCGACGCTCGACGGACCGGAACAGCCCCCGGATAATCTTACCATTGTGCCGGCCAGCTCCCCGATACGCAGCGGCGCCCATCTCAAGGTACTCAGGGGACACCACAACGCGACCATCATATGCGTCGCTCGGCACGTCACCCTCGCTCTACCCATGAACGCCAGTATTCTGCTCGACGTGCAGTGTGAGTATCTTTTTTTGTTTCTTTTCATTTTCTCCTTTTCACTCTTAAATATATGCTACGATTTCTTTTTTCTTTTTTTTTTTTTTTTGTACTTTAATGGGACAAATATTTGTTTTGGAAAAGCGTCCGCGAGACGACAACAATAACACAGCCACACCGTCTGCCTGCGTCTCGTTATGATCCAAATAAAACTCCAGACACCTAAACAACGAGTACGCCAGGATAGGGCAAACATGACTATCATTTTTTTTGTTCCTTCTTTTCCTTGGCATGAAACATTCACGGCTTATCTTACACTCTTGAAAAAAAGGGACATTTTTTGACGAAAAAAAAAGAAAAAAAAAAAACGAAAGAGAGTAGCGAAGGCGATAAGCACTCGCCAGCGCGTACGAGAGGGATATCAAAGGGAGCGTAATAGAGAGTCTCTCGTACGGCGTCGGAAGCGGGTGGATGGGAGATGCCAAAAAATATAAAGGGAAGAAAAACAAAGGGGAGCCGGGGGATGGAGGAGCCAGCTTTTTCGGAGGAGAGGCCAAAAGGGAAAAGCTGCCGACGCGGGGATTAACTCTTGCCGCAAGAACAAAAACGCCCAGACAGAAGGACAGAGAGATGAAAAAAAAAAAAAAAACCAACACGCGTGTGTGCCACCACTGGAAACCACCTCGAGTACACGTGTATATTGTGCACTTCGATGCCTTCCACAGTCGCCCGTCTGTCTTTTCTCAACTTTGCCCCCCGTCTTTTCTTCCCTCCCGGCCTAATAAACAGCCCCGCTAACATCGCTCGCGCATAAATTAAAAAGTCGCGTTACGCGTGACTCCCGAGCAAACACTTGGGGATCTAACAAACTTTGCGACGGTGAAAAAACAAAGAGGCAAAGAAGACGAGCCGTGGTAATCGAAAAACTTTTTCCCTCCCTCGTTTTCTTTTCTCCCTTAAACTCGTCGCACTCCTGCAGTCCTCGGCAACTGCATGCCCGCACACCTAGTTTTTGAGACTCCGCGTGAGCGCACGGATGGAAAAAAAAATAATAATAGTAATAATCCAACGACGCACTCTCGCGAGGAGTGTCGTCGGTTGTTGTCCGGCGCACACCTCCTCTAATCTTTGCCGGGTTTCCCCAGCCAGAGCAGCGGGTCGTTAATTTTTCACGCCAACTCGCGAGTCTCGCGGATGAAAGAGTTGAAAATGAAGGGGCCGTCACTGCTGCTTCCGCTGACCCTTTTTCCGCCCTTTGTTCTTCGGATTCTCCTGCTCCCACCTACGAGCGCTCCCTCGCAATAATACCATTGTGCTTTTGGATTTCCAGCTCGACGCCCCCCTTGCTTTTATATCTATCTGTCCCTTCTCTGGCGTCCCCGGGTTTTTTTCTTTTAATCTTTCCTCCTTCGCAAAAGCAAAATTTCTCTTTCGGAGACGAGCATCGAATTCCGGGGGACAAGTTTTTCGAAATACAGCCTCCACGCGGAGTTTGGTCGACTGGAGCTTTTTTCCCCTTTCGAGCAAAAGGTCAATATTGCGAGGGAGAGAAAAAAAAAAAAAAAAAAAAAAGAGGAACGCGACTCCTCGCGAGTCTTCCGAGCGCGTTTGAAAGCAGCCCGTCACTCCGAAAGCTCCGGCAGGAGGGGCACGTCTAAAATATAAATTACATTGAAGCCGCTCTCGAGCCAAGAGAGAGAGAGAGAGAATATAAGACCAAGTCGTCGGCGTATACGCGCGGAAATAAAAGAAGAAGGAGAGGAGGAAATGCAGAAAGGAAGGAAGCTCCGGGAGAAGGTGTCGATATATATATCCCGCGGGCGAGAGTTAGCTCCGGGTAATTGAAAAGTGCCTCTCGACACTTTGAGCCGTTATATAGAGAAAATATATACGTTATACGCTCGGGGACTTGCTCTTCTATCGGCGCCCGGCTGCTGATAAGTACAATGTGGGCGCATCTCTTTACTGGGGGGTGAGGGGGGGGTAGAAGGGGACGTATCGATTATTCTCGGATGCGCCTTGCATTATATCCACCCTTGGGGGCCCGCGTGTTTTGCAGCGGCTGCGGGTGAGATCGGGTCGCTCGTTCGCCCGGAAAATTTGCATCCCGTGCTCTGTTCTCTCGCTCCGCTGGTGCGGCTGTCGAAAATATTTCCCGCGCCACAAACAATGACAAATTTCACGCTTCCCCGCGAGAGGTTCTTCCCTCCCGTGTTTCTATGCTCCTCTATGTTGGTGAAAGCGCGGAAACGCCTGATTGACGCTCTTGCGGGGGATGGGGGAGGAAAACCCTTTTTTTTTTTTTTCTCGTATCAAATCTCTTTTGTTTCGAAAATTTTTCCGCTGCACTCGGCGCCGATTGTGCGCTCTTTCGCCAACCCGAGCTTTTTGGCTTCCGTTTTCCAGTGATTTCCGAGGGCTTGCCCTGTATTTTCCGGAAATCGAAGGCACGCGCTCCAACGAGCCATTTTTCACTTGACGATTCAATTTCACGTTTTCACGTTTAAAACGCAGTTATACACACTTTGGCAGTCGATGTTTGACCGAGTAAAAACATCACCAGCCGAGCGGATTAATCAAATAACCCACTACGGGGGAGGGGGGGGGGCAATGAAATTTCGAGACTCGAGTTTTTCAAATATACCCCTAGTCCATGTGAAACCACCACCGAGGGGCTCCAATGTATTTACTTCCTGTTCCTCTACCCCTTTGCGATTCTTTTACCCGTGCCCGGCCCGTTATTCGAATTAAGCCAGTAAATTATGAACCAGCGGGAAATGCTGATGGCACTTGAGGCTTATTCGATTTGCCCAATGGGAGGGGAAGGGGAGGCTTGCGCGCAAAGCAAGTGCAATCGATATCAAATCACGAGCTTTCGATCTGCGTCCACCTACGGCCGAGCGCATGCACTAGTTGGAAAAACTCGCCAAAAAAAAACATGCGTCGCGAAAGCTCCTGACAAAATGCTCGAGTTTACCGCTGTAAAAAGAAAAACAGCGCAACGTAATGTAATCGGGCTCGAAAAATGAGCGGAAAGGAATATAAGCGCCAGAAATGAGACTCACCTGCGGAGGTGGATCTGCATTATCTCTCAGTGTGAGGGGGGGGGAGGTGGCTTGGCTAGATTACTTTTTGGCGCAACCGCAAGGAAATTACTCGCTGCTGGGCGTCATTTGCAAAGGGTCGAAGAGATCCGCCGAGTTTATCCGCAGTGGCGCTCGAAACACCTCGTGGGCTTATTGCAACGCGCCACGTGTAGGGAGGTGGGCATGAACTCCCTTGTTTTAAATGATATTGCAACGTAAGACGGGAGGGTTGGAAAATTGCCTTCCGCACCGAGTCTTGGATTATATACGCCGTATACGGGAACAACTGACGGCATATTTGTACACGCGGGCACTCGGAAAAAAAACAAAGTTATACTCGGAGTCATATAGATACGTAAGGACTGGCTTTTCCGTATCGATTTTTCGCCCTTTAAAAATGTTTTCCCTTTTTCGCTACTAAAAGGGCAAGGGAGGATAAATAGTACACGCAGAGAGGCATTAAAAAAACATAGTTTTAGTGCAGTCAATCAATAAACTTTTCAAATGTTTTTTTGCAAAAAAAAAATTGAGTTTTGATGGCCTACTCTCTCGCGTTGGAATCAGCATAATACATAATGGAGTGTCAACAGCGGAGATAATCCATCCTCCGAACCCTCGCAGTGCAGAGATGAACACAATACGTGCTATGCTTCATTTTTGTGTAACTGTATACTGAAATAACTATGCTCATCTCCGTCAGTTGGACAGGAAGAAATACAGCACTCGATAAAAGTAATTCCCGGCAATTGCGTGCTTTTCGTTTCTTCCGATGATTTGTCAAACGTAGCTGGGGGTAAGCAAGCTCTCTCGTCTTGATGGTTGACAAGCTCCAGTCAAGCCCGAAATTCTACCGCTCCATGTACCCCCGACTGTTCTGCCGATTCATACTAATATACACACACACACACACACACACACACACACACACACACACACAGAGAGATTTCGCCATTCACGTCGCTCACTTGGCTACACTCAATCAATCATATTCAAATTTAACAGGAGGCCGATTCGCTACCTCGATCCTCCTCCCCCCGTCACAGCTGCCGGAGCTTTGAAGCTCTGCGATCTACATCTGCTTTGTACGGTTATATTGTGACGTGTCGCGCGGCCTCGCGCTGCCAGTGCCACTCTAAATTGCTTCTGCAACGCTACTCTCTTACTCCTCCTCTTGTTCCTTTCTATGGTTGGATACTCTCTCTCTCTCTCTCTTAGAAACAATGCTACATTGTTCCTCCGATGTATAAGCGATTGTCTCGACTCTGTTTTGCCTAAAACAACTCACTCCTGCACCGCTGCACGAGTGTCGAAATTAATAAAGCTCGAGATCTACTCTCGGTAAGACAGTGTCATTTTTTTTTTTTTTTTTCCTAAAACACTAATCTTTTTATGCGAATGAGTGGAAAAGTCAACAAGTTTATTACTGACTGCTTCGTCGAGTGACGAGTAAAATTTTGTTGTTCCCATAAATGTTGGTGTTGTTTTTGTTTGATTTCCATTTCCTAACAATTGAAATTTTCCACCAACAGAACCAGTGAAAAATACAAATTAACTTTTTTGAGCGACCATTCGCCGCTTTAAAAACACATGACTTTAAATATTCACCGATACAGTTCAGGAAAGTTATTTTTATTTTATAAAGCTATCTTCCGTTTCAGCTCACGAGTCGATATTTCCTATTACTTTGGCAAAATTTTATTTTCAAGCTACCGACGAGCTTTTCATTCCGCACGTTGATTCAGACTGTTATTTCATAAGCACTGCGAATCAGCGAATAGATGATTTTTCGAAAAATTCGCTTCAACGGCACCCAATCGATTCGAAATTCCTGCTTGTAAAATATCGACGCACAGTAAAGTGTGTGTGCGCGTGCCTACCCATGAGTTTGCCGATCACGTCGGTACACCAGCCAAAAGTTGCCGTAGAGGCAGCAAA